TATTTTAAATCAGCAACAGGAAATATATTTGTATTCACACGGGTAACCTACAAGATACTGGAATATTGTTATTTTGATAAACACCTTTGTAAACACACATGTTTTAAGAGTACACAAATGTACAATTTTTACATGAAATTAAACAGAGTAGAGGAGATATCGACAGTGAGGAAAGGATGCAGAAATAGAAAATAACCATAAAAACATATGTTGGGGGAATACGTGTAGCTAAAGTTAAAGGCCAGGGAAATGAAAATTAAACACGTTTTGAAATAAATATTTAGACGTTTAATATAAATGCCTTGTAGGTTTGTATGTTTTTATAAGAAGTACATTTTGAAATGACTCGAAAACCAGTAAAAAAAACAACATTTTCATTTATTTCCATTTGCTGCAATGAGTTTGGTATTTTACCAATAAAATAACAAAATTTCAGTCTGGATTATCTTTTCAGTGTAGAGTCAAAGTGTTTGTTCAAAACCTATAATTTTATCAGTTTTGGGTGATAACCAATCACATAATAAAACCTTGGTCTGCTGACAAAAGCTTTTGGGCAATAGAACAAAGATGGTGTAGACACTCCTATACTGCATGACAAACTCAAGCACATTTGATTGTGGCTGTGTGTCAGCAGACAAGAGCTGCTGTTTTAAGGAGCGGACCAAATGAAATTTCTTTTTCTGTAAAAATAAATCCTATATAATCCAACTACTGCAACTAAAACGTATGAGCTGACAGCTACTTGCAAGTATGCCTTTGAGATATTCCCATCATGTTTTACCAGTCTTATAGATTAATATAAAAGTATTGGTCTATCATGAAAAAAAAAAAAACTTCCTTGCTTCCATAAAGAAGGCATATAAATCCTGGTTTGTGTTTAATGCATCTGGGACGTCCTTGTGGACAAATTATATAGTTTTAAAACATGGTGAAAAACCACAGCTTATACTGGCGAGAGTTTGAAAATATATCGCTCTGATAACATAAATTTTACTTCAATAAATAGATTGTCAGAAAACAACATTTCTACATGTTGTGTGGTGTTGAAAACTTGCAGTCTGTGCTTTATAGACCCCTACAGTCCGCAAAGCCTCAAGAAAACATTATCTCTGTATGGAATGCATATGTTTTATGCATAACTAAGCCATAACTATTAAGATGTGTTTTGTGTTTACCATGTCTTACAAAGCTATTAATACTCTTGTTGTGGATTCTCAATTAGATTATTTCTAGGCTTTGACGAGGCTGTTTAAAGGTATAGTGGAGGATGCTGTTTTTCTGGGTGGATCATCAATATAAGTGGTCCTCCTAATTGTCAAACCTTTGGGTGATTCTATGTTTACGTAAAGTCGTCCTATGTGCTCGTCCCCCTTTTCACTTACTGGTGGTGAGTCTGACATAGTGGAAAAATTGCAAATCTTCTTTTGGAAAGTAAGCTTGTATGAGCGATGCAAAGAGCAACTTTTAAACAGAACGTGCATGAGGAGAAATGGGCTCCTGCATGCACTCGCACGCGTTTAATTCCCTCCCGGGAGCAGGTACAGGGTGGTGCATGTGCATTTTTTGCAAAAAAATACATTTAAGTATTTTTTTATTTTATTTAAACCATTCCTTTGTATATCTTATTTGTTATAAGTATTTTCCCATCTAGAAGTGCTTTAGCTGCAATAATCTCCATCTGTCCGCTACTAAGCTACTCCAGAGTTACCGTGGGTTTGGAGCTGCTTCTCTGACTAATTTTTTTCTTCTGCTAGCTTATCATTTTATAATCAACCTTATCTTGGTTCATCCTCCTGCCATGTTCAGATGTTTGACTGAACAGATTTCTATGAGATGTTTAAAGCTTTGAATGTTGTTTCAGCAACTAATTCTGCTTAAACCTCTCCAAAAATTTCTCCCTGATCTATCTCCTGTACATCTATTGTTTTCATGATGCTGTTCGCTCTTTAATGTTTTTTTTTTTTTAAACAACCTCTTAGACCTTCACAGAGCAGTGTGATTTATTAAGAGTTTAAATTGCACACAGGTGGATTTTACTTTCTTATTAATTGGCTTATTGATTTTATCATGGGTATCACAGTAGGGGGTTGGAATAAAAACTTCAACATATTTAAGTGAAAAGCTCAAAAGTCATTATAAGTTTATGAAATAAATTGTATACATTTCCTTTCCGATCAGAAAGGGCTACAGGGTTATCTTAGTGTGGCATATAAATCCCAGCAACACATAGAAGTTTAGTAGTTTTACTTTGGAAAGGTGTGAAAAAAAGCATGATTTAGCTCATTTCAAAATGTTGCTTCAGGACAAATGGAAAAAAAGCCCAGTTAGAACCATATGGTGACCCAGAGGTTAACAGCTGCTCTGGTTAGTGTGAGCTGTTTAAATGTTTCATCTATACTCAAATCCAAAAGCACAAGATGCTTACAAACTCATGAACATTTACTAATATAGAAATATTTATTTTAATGGTCAGACATGATTAAAAAAAAAAAAAAAAACTGCTGGCTACAATATCCTCATGTCATTTTCTGAAGAAGCAGCACTTGATCATGATGTGTGGCAGGTTAGTGCCTTGTTGTATTGACACAGTCACCCACAGATCTACAATATTAGAAAAAATCACAACAACCTAAAAAACTGATCTGGATGTCAGGCTGCAGAAGAGCACTAGACTGAAGCTTTTCACCTTTTGTCTCCACCTCATTTGGCTCCCCCATCTGACGCGCAAGGACCCGAAGCAAACGTCAGCCCTGATTGCAATTACCCACAGTGCCATTATGCTGTCTGGGAAGAATAAAAACGATTGACGTCTTTCTGACCATCTGCTGCTCTGCGATTCCTCTCCCATCTATCACTTCCCCTGGCCTCGCCCATCTCTGACTCTTCTTTGAGAGGATTAAGAGCGCTGGTATCCCTGTGTGTCTTTTTCTCATCAATGTGCAAGCACAACCTTGTTGTGTAATGTGCATACTTTGCTGTGTGTTTGTTGCGATCTCTTCATCCAGTAATATCTTTGTGTCTGGGATTTTTTAGTCACCAAACACTGACGCGTGACCCCTTTCTGAAGACAAATCCTTGTGCAGATTGTACAAGACATTATTTAAGCAGCGGGAAAGAATAAAGCATAAAAATCCCAGTAATTTTAAATAAATCTATAAGGTTTTATTACAATGTACACAGAACCTAGCGAGTGAATCTGATTATTGACTTAGGGATGCAGGTTAGCAGTTCAAAAGAAAACGGGATTCAGGGGAGATCAGTTTTACAGCAATTAGAAGATAAAATGACAGAATGAGAGTAAAGTACTAATACATTTCAACATACAACAACAACATTAAAGCAGCTTGCTTAGATCGTTGATCATCATTTCACACACACCAAACCACAAAAAAATAAATAAACCTTACATTGTATGGACAATATTACTGAGAACATTGAATGTTGTTTGCAGGAAATAAAGAAAAGTACCAAGGGTTTAACCTGAAGTTTATGGAAAGAAATATGTAAAAATAACATGCTTTCATGCTTTTAATGTAACATTCATAACATTGGGAAGATTAGTTCACATGAATTGTCCATCATGATTGTTTAAGATATTCTACTCAATGTTAAGCAAAATATGCTTAAAACAAAGAGCAAGTTAAACATGTCTTACTGTTCAAGATTAAAATTTGTAGGTTTCTAAATAGCTAATTTTGAGCTGAAGGAAGGAAGGAAGGAAGGAAGGAAGGAAGGAAGGAAGGAAGGAAGGAAGGAAGGAAGGAAGGAAGGAAGGAAGGAAGGAAGGAAGGAAGAAGGAGGGAGAAAAAAAAGTTAAGAAAAGAGAAGAAGGGAATGAAGGATGGATAGATAGATAGATAGATAGATAGATAGATAAAACTTAAAACCCCTTCAAACAAAGTCTGTTTATAAACTTGTTTCCATACTTGTGTCTGGAAAACACTGGAAACTCCTCACTTTTTCAGACTTCATGTGGTTTCTGAAGTAACCATGTCCTGTGGAAAATAGGTGCAGTCCATTTCTTTGCTTTATGTGTACCGGGAAAGAAGGTGGGGCTGATTTAGCTTTACATTTGTGTGGTTGGATTGTACAAAAGTCAATTACTGGGCTTGTCTGGCTTAACGAATTTCCCGCAAGGGATTAATAAAGTAAAGTAAAAATTCTGATTGTCTCGTAGAGTTATTGTCATTAATGCCATTTATAGGTTCCCCTTAAATAAAGGGGATCTAGAGCAGTTCCAGAATCAGTCCACACAAACAAGCTCAGAACCTCCTGGATAGAAACTCATGGTAGAAAAAGAGACACTTTAATGACAGGAAGTATAGTTGGGATGGTTCAAAATGAAGCTTTTAGACCTAATAACACAGTTCTAACTATCAAGCATGGTGGTGGCAGCATCATCTTGTGGGGTTATATATGAAATATTGCTAGGTCTCGAATGAACAATTAAAAACGATACATTTGAACAGAACCAAACTGTAAAGTCGGGTTGATATTTTTACTTTTGACAGTCAGTAAACATTTTAAAAAAGGTAAAGCTTAGGTAAAAAATTCTGGTTCCTTGGGTGCCAATGTCCTACAACTTCTAGAGGTTTCTTTTATTTAACACAGCTAAAGCAAACAGTAAGATCTTTAGCAGGATTCTGGAGAACTTGTCTGCATGTTGAGGATATGATTTAGCCATTTGACACCAGTGTGTTCAACCAGAGCGACTTCAAAAAGTTAGAAATCAGCCATTGATGATTGGAGTTATACACCCATGTTCTAGACTTTTCTGTTGCAGTATTAAACATATTAGATTTGGGCATTAAAAGGCTAGTACACAAACATTCAGGACCATTTTAGGTTTGTCGATTAAATAAATAAATAGATGAAAAAAAAATAAATTCAGACACTCTTATGCAGATTTAAATTACCCACCCCTTCATTGGACTTGCCTAAATTATAATGCCAGAATTGGAAACATTTCACAAAACCTAGACAAACAGACCAAAACGCCATCACGGCAAATCACACGGTGATATGGCACACCGTCGATCGTAAGCGGTGTCGTCACTTTCCTCACCGTCGCTCACTTCGCCCAGAGCTCGCTCTCTGTCCTCCTCCTCCTCTGTTTCACTCTCTGGTCTCAGTCGCTCCCGTTCCCTGTCCCGTTCCCTGTCTCGCTCTCTGTCCCGTTCCCTGTCTCTGAGCCTGTCACGTCCCCCGTCCCACTCCCTGTAGCTTCGTGGTAATGTGGAAATCTGAGTTCGGAAAGAAGGACATGAGATCATTGTGTGCTGACAGACCTACACAAATATTTACTTCTAACATGTAGCATAGATAGATACCTGATTATCATGGCTAGGCAGGGCAGAGTAGCCCGGCTCCGTCCTGCGGAGGAGGCGTGGCGAGTGAGTACGGAAAGGGCGAGGGGAATGGGAGCAGACGGATCGCGGAGAGGGAGAACGCACGGAGTGTGGGGATGGTGATCGGATAGAACATGAAGGTGAGTACGTGGCAGACTGGGAGAGAACATGGCTGTGATGGTTTTGTTTAGGTGGGCGAGGGGAACGAGGTGGCAGCTCAGGAGGTTTGAGGGGATCTACCAGGTCCATTTCGGTAAGGATCGGCGGAGGAGGGATGAAGAGTAGCTCCTCCTCAGTCGGGAGCATTTCTGCCGCATCAAGTTCAGCAAGTTCTGCCTTTGACAAGTGGTCCACGATCCCAGCACCAAAAGAATCACCCACCACATTGATGGAGGTGCGCATTCTGTCTCTGAGTGGACATAAAGAAAGTGTTACGGCTTTGTAGGTTCTGATAGAGCAATCAGCAACACAGGAGGTAGACCTGTAGATTTATTTAAGCCAACACATTAAATAATGATTTTTAATGTGCAATGATGCGCAGTACAATGAAATTTGATCTTAGCATCAAATTGATCCATTTGGCATAAGATAAGACTCAGATTCATGCTTTCAGCCAGAAATGATCCAAGTGGGTCTTAAAGGAATAGTACACCCAAAACATGATTAGCCTTCCTTTTCTACTCACCCCCATGCTGAACAACACTCTGGAGTACTTTTTTGATATCTCAAATGCATCTGGAGATCTGGGAGGCTTCTTGCTGTCTGCTGACATTCAAATAATGGAGGTCTATGGTGCCCGAGGCAGAAAGGTCCATAAAAGTCCACAAAAAACGTGTCAATATTCCTCCATACTGCTCGTCCAATGTATTTCAAGTGTCCTGAGTGGGTAGCGTCCATAATTTACTCGAAACGAAGTCATTTAGAATGTTTTTAGAGCATAAACAGTAGTGTATAGGATTTCCTAAAAGCGCGCGCCTGCGAGTTCACGAGCCTACGGAAACCGCGGCAGACCAAACCAGATGAAAGTGCGCATTCAGCGTCTGCTCTGCCGATAATGCAAGCGTAGAAGAAGAAATTTGCTGTTTACCTGTGCAAAGAAAGAAACAACGAAAGAAAAATGTCTGAGGACTTCAGTGTTGAGGAAGAGCATGAATTCTTTGCCGAGCTGAATGCGCACTTTCATCTGGTTTGGTCTGCCGCGGTTTCCGTAGGCTCGTGAACTCGCAGGCGCGCGCTTTTAGGAAATCCTATACACTACTGTTTATGCTCTAAAAACATTCTAAATGACTTCGTTTCGAGTAAATTATGGACGCTACCCACTCAGGACACTTGAAATACATTGGACGAGCAGTATGGAGGAATATTGACACGTTTTTTGTGGACTTTTATGGACCTTTCTGCCTCGGGCGCCATAGACCTCCATTATTTGAATGTCAGCAGACAGCAAGAAGCCTCCCAGATCTCCAGATGCATTTGAGATATCAAAAAAGTACTCCAGAGTGTTGTTCAGCATGGGGGTGAGTAGAAAATGAAGGCTAATCATGTTTTGGGTGGACTATTCTTTTAAGTCAAACAAGGGAGGAATATGTAGAAAAACACTCTATATCAACTGTTCCAAAAAAGTAAAAAAAACAATCCACTGGACTTTTTTTCCAAGTTTGATGACATTTCTCTTCCCATCCAGGAAGCTTTTTCAATTGAAAATGTCAAAATTAGCGTAGAGTTTGAGGCTTTATAGATTGGATCAAAACAAAACCATGTTTTGGCTTAGAAAACATGCAAATTGAACTGGAAGAGTGGGTCCACCCCTTACTAATTGGGAGTCATTTGGGTTCTTTGTTAGCCTGCAAAAGCAAATACTGTTCTATGTCTCTGAAAGGGGGGTCGTTAGGGGGGGTTGTTGGCCTGGCTGAACAGGCAAGATGTTCTGGTCCCCTGTATTGGGTTGGGGGTTTCGATGATAGCAGGAAGGAATCTTGTTTTTTTTACTTTTCTGGAATTACAATGACCTGGATGACTTCTTCACCAACATGTCAACTGTTAAGCATGAGAGAGGATCTATAGTGCCGTGGGGCTGTTTCTCTTCAAATGAAAGCAGGAACCTCTTTAGAGTGTACGGGTCATTAACTGTATTTTTGAGGGAGAATTATTTAAAGCATATAGACACACACAAAATCTACATATTAACATGACCTCCTTAGTCTCCGGAAAACAATAAAACAGAAAACATGAGATGTTATCACATTAGATCTTAATAAATTACTTAAAGAATAAAGGTAAAAAATCAGTGTCTCTGTTTCATCCAACTTTGTGAAATGTTTTGGGAAAACATAGAACTAATTGCATTGCTACGCTGAATGAATATTCTCAAGTCAAAGATAAACTTCAAATTGAGCTGTGTTAGCTTAAAATAATGCAATAAAATGCATTTACTGAAAACTTTCTCCCAGCAGAGTCAGTAACTGCAAAAGATGCATGAAACAGAGCAGCGACATATTTTTATTCCCTGCTCATCAGACACCTTACTCACAGCAGCCAGTCAACAGCGATCAGCAAACTGATGTCCTGAGTGGGCAGGCCGACAGCAGTCAGGATCAGCAGCATGGTCACCAGTCCAGCACTGGGAATACTGGCAGCTCCAACGCTGGCCAGGGTGGCGGTCATACTGGGGCAGAAAGAAAATGTTTCAAATCCCACAAAAAGAAGTGTATGGTTGCTTGACCAAGAACTCTAGGCAATGTGTTTTAACGTGCAAGCACCCTAACATAACCTTCTTGGTTTTATTTGGGGTTGCTGTTGCCTCAGCATCAGCCACAAACTCATTTGTTTGCTGGCTTGGACCTATCTGTTAAAATCAACATTATATGAGAACAGATGAAATGATGAGATGCAAATTGAACATTTCTATGAAGGGTCCCACAAAATCAGAATAAAATAAATAATGATTGCAACAGCTAATCAGAGCATGAGCCTTTAAAGCTGACTTATCATTGTTGAACGGCTGCCATTGAACCCCATTAGCCATTACTCTATTAACTTTAAAATTCTATTAAAGACACAGAATGATAATGGAAAATGGGGAAAAGTTTACTTTTTGAGAAAAAAAAGATGGTCTAAACTCCTTAAATGTTGTTTGGCTAATAGCCAGTAAGCCAAATAAAAAATAACCATCTACAGGGCTGCCAACTTTTCACCAAACCTTGGAGTGAGATTATAGATGCAGCTATAGGTTGTAGGTTTTAAGAGGATTAAACTGAAACAAAGTGGCAAAATGTGGAATTTTTGGTAACACAGTAAATGTTACTGAGTAACAATGAGTGATCTGTAGTTATGTAGAAAAATTTTCGCACAACATACATTATTTTCTAAATTCTGGTGATTTTCAGAGAATTGAAGTCGTGAATAATGGACCCTACTAATATAGATGAATCTTAAATATACTGTAAACTTAGAATTTCACAACTTTGTTAACTAATTATTCTATGCAGTTAAAGTAAAATAAACAACGGGGAACTAATAAGCTATTACTGGGTTTCTGGCACTAAGATAGGAACCAAATCGAATTCCTTGCAAACTACACTGTGTATGAATATTTGGTAATAGGCTAAGGATTAAAAATCTTAAGTTATTATATTAATAGTTTTTTTTTACTATTGAAAAAACAGCTAAACAATTCAGACCATCTAGGAGGCTATATAGTCTATAAAAACTCTCCATGACACAAAACAGCACTTCTCTAGATGTTTAAATTTGGTAGATGTGATGGAAATTAAGTTTTTAAACATATTCAATGGACCAAAATAAGGATAAAGGAATAAGATAAGTAAAAAAAAAATAAACAAATACGAACAACTGTCTGTCTCTATGAATCCTGGATGACCTCCTTCTGCACATCCTCTTATGTGGCTGGTCTTTTCTTGGGTGGCAGATTTTTTTTAAGATAAAATACAACGGCTCTTTTTCTTTTTTGTGGACCTCCTATGGGTTTGTGAGGCAAACCTGACAGCTTTAAGAATTTAAATATTTGTGTTGGTTTAATTAGTCCTAAAATCCAACGGGAGATTAATAAACTAGACTGAGCAATAATCATTCAACTTGTGAGTAAAACGTGGACTAAACCTGGGACTAAATCAGGTGGCTAAATTAGAGAAAACAATGATTAAAGCTCACAAAAAAATCACTAGGTATAGAGAAAACGATTTGATTTCACATATTTCATGCTTGCTCATCATTGACAGGTTCTTTCAACCTGTGTTATTCAAACTAGACTTCTATCTTCCAGGTCCCTGAGTGAAGCTCTAGTATCAGCTCTCTCAGTCCACTGGATCTCGCCATAAAGCTCTAGATACCATCTCACTAACCAGCAGTCTACAGACTGACCAACTTCATCTATCTTCACTCCACCACCACTTTCAGGCCTGGGGGGGAAACAGCCCTGTTCTTTACTGCTATTCATGCATATCAATTAAAATTCAGCCCTATGTTTCCTGGCGAGGTCTGAGCGCCAAAGCATAGGAAATTGTTTAAAAAAAATTCTTTTAATTTTCTTTTTTCTTCATGTGAGTTTTTATAGATTGAACTGTTATAATTAACAGAGTTAGCTTAACCAGAATATATCTGCTTGCTTAATCTGTCTGTAATCTGCTGTATCTTTGTATTATGAACACTTAATATTTGATTCAACACAAAACTGTTCTTGTGTTTTTTTTATTTCAGTTTAGAAAGGCCAATTTGATTAAAGGAACCACATTTTCATAATAAAATAGTTAACTTCATGTTTACAGCAAAGATTGTTGTCACAGTTCTCTTACGTGTACAGCTTGGTGGATGGATGTTCCCCATATAATATATCGTTTTTTAATGGTTTTCAAGATCAAGACAACATGAATAGAGTTTTCCTGGTTATTGAGGGAATCCTGGAAGAATCTTAATGTCTGACACAGATCACCAACCACATGGTCTTTATTTTTTAGTATTTTCATCTTAAATGCAACCAACAAAACCTTTTGAAACGTTGCTGCTTTTCTGCAATTTGAAAAAAATGATCATTTCTTTTGATCTTTCACCACAAACCCATTAATCAGATCTGAGGGTTCTGAGTCACGTCTTAATTTTATTCCAACAATCTAAAGCTCCGATCTTCAACTTCAATGTAAGAGGAGGAGTTTCACATCCCATATGGATAATATTTTAACACCATTCTCCTCACACGATATAAAAGCTCCACAGCATGTTTCAAAAATTAGATTGTGGAATTTGGTGGTGAACAGACATTGTTAGAAAAAAATACAATAAAGATTCAAGTGCTGAACATTATTTGTAACCCGCAGCTATAACAAGCTGAGTCCCATCCAAGCAGACTGGTTCCAATTAGACTTAATGTTTAGTCAAAACCTCAGACATGGGAAAAAATGTCTGATTACTTCTTTACAGCATTCATTTTCAGGATTTACTTCACCATTAAGTTCCATATATCACAATAATCTGCCTAAGTCATGCAAGTTTACCAAAGTCGCTTTTCATTTTGTTGACCTTGCTTCAGCTGAATGCATATTCATAATAAACCCTAATGTCTCATGCAAAATGTTGCATATGCTCTGGGAATATGGAGCTCCAGTGTTTTTAAATTTATTTAGTTGTGCGAAACTTAGCAAATCCTTGTGAAAGTAGCTGCAAATTTAATTTGAACCACAATCAGGGCAAATAAGGTTATCTTAACAACCTTTGACTCCTTTCTGATCCTGCTACTTTAAGTTACAAAAAAAGAAAAACAACGCTTATATTTATTGAGTTTTATCAGGTCTGAACAGAACCAGAGACACAAGCAAAACACTACGAAGGATCCATGTGGGTCACAAAACTATGCATTTGTATAATTTACAGCCCCAGTGTTGTTGTCTTTAGCTCTCATGTAAGGCCATGGCTCCAGCTGTTTGCGTTTACAGCCTTATCCACAGTTTCCTGTGCAATTCTGTTTCTGGACGAAGCAAGTAAATTTTGTCCGAAGCATTTTTATGCAACATAATAATGAGGGAATGGTGTCAAATCCCAGAAAAATGCAACGTCTAAAAATCAATCGTTTGAATGAGTTGCTAAAAAATACATTGAAATGCATCTTTACTGAGGAAATGTTTTGTTAAATCATCATTTTGGTTGTTTGTATTTACATCTCATACTAAAATAAAATAAAACAAATAACTCCCCCGACAGGTTCATCTTTTGTTTCCTCTTCCCCATTTAAATGTTTCAGATTTTGAAACAAAAAAAAGTTTTTACATTTTAGTGCTATTTATTAAGGGTCCAACTCAGGCATGTGTGAAAACATATAAAATACTTTTTTACCCAGTGTGAAAGCCTTAGCTGCAAAACGTGGAGTCATTAGTTTCCAATGTCTGAAAATTATCCTTAAACATTACTATAGTGGAACTCTAACTCAATTTTCTTTGCAGACTTGTTTTAATTGTGCCAAATAGGGTTTTTGTGCATAACAGCCATAGTTAAGTTGGATGAAGAACTCGACTTTGCTAGTCCAAAATCTTAATATGGTAGAGTTCTTCAGTTAGGCTGTACACAGAAACGTTCATGGCGCCATTAATTACAAGTCGTGCAGTTAATGAAGACGCTTAACCAGATCATGATGGCACCATTACCATGCTTGACTGTTGGGGTTTTATCTAGATTGCTGTTAGTTTTACCATTTTTAAGGCATGGATGGCGTGTCAGTTTCTGATACGGACAGTTTGGCATCCACCTGATGCAACACATGGATTCATGAGGTATAAGAAGGAGGAGATGACCTTGTTCACGGCTCAATCTTTGCCGGACGCTCGCTGACGTTTTTGAGCCCACAGCTGTGCCAACTCCTAGCCATTTCTCTGTCCTGTAACGACCTGGCCTGGAATAAACGCTGTTACTTTTTTACTCCGTTTTATAGTCCTTTTTATATGGTTTTACCCAGTTTGAGTTAAGAGTAGTAAATAACTTGCTCCCAGGTAAAGAACCGGTAGGGAAGTTCCGGGGCGCAGCTGCCTTCAGGGTGACCTATCTTCCATATTTAACATAACAGGACCAAGGCTTCCGGAGCATGGTTTGGTAAAATAAAAAACAAATGCTCTGTTCTTTGGCTCCAATTTTGGTTATGCCCCTGGATTTTTATTGGGGATTTTTTCCCTGTGTCTTTTAAGTTTTGAAGACAAACTAATGAAAGTCAGACCTGCAGTGCTTTAAATGTTGCTCTGATTTCCCTCTCATATACTTTCTGCATTTGCTGTTAATTGCTCTTACTGTGGTTTACAGGAGCCGTGAAAGATCACAGTCATCAACTTCTTCTGCACCTTCTTTTTTTGACAATTGAGTCGGTGTAACAAGTACATTTCTCCACTGTGAGATCAATAAAGTAAATTAATCAATTAACTTTATTTTCCTCTATTGTGGAATTGCTTTAGCTTGAGGTGTGATGCGTTTCTGCTTGAGAAGTTAAAATCAAATGCATGTTATCTCACTGGTTGTTTTTGATTTATTTATTGAAGTCCAATTCAATGACTCAATAAGCTGTCTTTTCCTTGTACATAAAAATCCATCTGCTATGGTTTGAATTAATTGTCTCAGTAAGGTGCCTTGAGATGACATGAATTGTAAAAAGTTGCTATATAAATGAGCTATAAAGGAATGCAAGAGGGACAATCATGAACTAGCTGTGGGTCTAGATACGGCGGTGAGGAAATGGGGGCCAGTTTGTGCAACAACGGAGGTACATGAGGGTGAAAAAGAACGAGGATCCATGTGGAAAAAAGGTCCCAGCGTTCTCATGCACCTTGTTGTTCTAGCTGGTCCAACTTTACGAGTCGTTTTCTGCAGTCGTACAATGGCGGTAATACAAACAAAACAAGCCGGTAAGGTACCAAACAGTAAATACGCATAGTGTAGAGCAGATGTAAATTTGAACAATCGAAGGGCTCCTTTCTGCGGAACTGTCTCTGGTCACCTACAATTTTGGAGAGGTGCAGCAGAGGCCACATTTGCATTCACTGCAACACACACGCAGACGACCTGGTTCCTGAGTATAAATCAGCCTTAAGTAAGACCGAAACGTCTGTAAAGAAATATTAAACTAAATAGGTTACTATTCATGAAAGCAACCAGGAGATGCTGTCTGTTTGCATGTGAAAGTAAATGGATCAAAAAGTAGTTTATAGAATCATTAAATCTCACAGGGTGCACTTTACTTTCAACGATTTAGCTAATCCCTGAAATGCTCTGCACTCCTGTCCCTGCTCCTCCTTTTTAAAAACTATCTCAACTACTCCTGTGGGGTCTGGTTTTTGACTATCTGCGCTCCCTGCCTCACCCATTCAATGTCAATAAATTGCAGCGATAGCTGAAGATAGTTAAAATGATCTTTTTAATGAAAAATGACCGCAGTGAGTAATGATTCTCCAACTCTGCCAAGAAAGATGTTTATATGGCAATAGAGGCCAACAAGCAATATAACTTTTGAGAAAATAAATAATAAAATTAATAATAAAACAAAACCCAGACTGCTTTTCTTGCCTAGCTCAGCAGGCCAAATGTGGTGTTAAATGGTTATAAAAATTGATTACTGGTTTCTGGTAGCAGAAGTAACTGAAACGGCCTTAGAAAATCATCCAATCCTTAATAGATGTGGAGTTTGGCAGCACATTTAATATCTCAAAGCATGGAATTTAACAAGCAAACCACAAATATACAGCTGACAGGAGAAAATATGGGAATATTTAATTTGGAATAAACAAAACAAGTTGTAACTGTATTAGAATGAACAGCAATGATCTGCCACTGAATACTGTTTTCAATTAAAGAGATTTGGTTTCAGCAGGGATTTGTTGTGGCAACAGATGACCCAGCCCATTAAAAGTTGCTACAATTCTCCTATACTGCGTATTTATATGCATATTTTGCACCTTGGTGTAAACAGTTGTTTATAATAATAACAAACATTGTAAGCGGCAGACAGTAATTTAGTCCTTATATAGTGCCATGCAAAAGTACTTATACCCATTGAACTTTTAAGCTTTTAGTTCAGTTTTAACCACATTTAACCACATATCAAGTGAGTTTTATTGAAAAATAAAACACATAATTGTGAAATGTGAAAAATCAACACATAATTATACATGGTGCCCCAGCATATATATTTCATGAGGCGATAATTTGAAGTCTTGCCGAAGATTGTTATTTTGATTTAAGTTTCAACTCGGGTCCTTCTGAGACATTATTTTGCTTTTACCTAAACCATTTCTGATAGTATGTTTGCAGTGGTTTTTCTGCTGGAAAGATCTTCCACGTCAATAAAAAAACTGGGAAGTTCATAATTTGAGCATGTTTAAGAGTGTGTACACTTTTGAATTTAATATAAAGCAGAGAATATACATTTTTTAGATCAACCATCATTATGAGATCTTAAAATGGGCAAAATTAATATTTAACTCTTTGTTTGCTTCATTTTCTGACGTTTCTGTTGTTTTTTTTTTTAGCATGACTGATGTTTTGCTGGAAAGTGTTGAAAAAAAAGGAAAAAAAGAGGAATGTATTGACTTCTGCATCTATTGTCTTCTGCTACCATCAGCTCAAAGTATCAGATTGGAAACGAGGGGGGAAAGATGTCAAAGTCTAAAGAAACACTTCAGAAACTCTGAACTCTGGCAGCATGGGATGGGTTGAGGGGTTGAAAGGAATAAAGAATGATTCAAGATTTACTTAAAATTGTATGTTTGTATAATAAATATTAGAAATATATAATATATATTTGTGTAATACACTCTGTAAGATAATCTTGTTTTTTTAAATTAGCTTATAACTTATGAAGTTTGTGGGGGGTTTTTTGCTTTCTGTGTTTAACCATTACCGGTACATGCAATCAGAATGTGGCATTTACACTTAAGAAATAATTGAATATTGTTCCTCATTCAATCATTTATTCATTTTAATTTTAAGATCATTTCATCCATCAGCCATTTTGGGATGTCTTGCATCATTAAGCCTCCAATCACAGGTGATTGATACTGAGGAAGACTTGTTTTTTCCTTTGGAACACTAAGGACATGGAGAGTTGGAGCGTTTCCTCCTTTATTCTTACCTGACTGTGACAATCTGTCCAGCATCCAGTGCAATGTCGTTCATCTGGGCAATAAAGATGGCTGCCACAGCCTCATACAAGGCTGTGCCATCCATGTTGATGGTGGCCCCTATGGGAAGCACGAAGCGAGTCACTCGCTTGTCAATCTTGAGGTTTTCCTCCAGGCAGCGGAAGGTAACCGGCAGTGTCCCTGCACTGAAGAAAAAGGGGGGAAACCCCGCAAAACCACCCGGTGCAGGAAATAAGTGCCAATTTTTAAAAGATGAGGAGCAAAGTGTCTATTTGGGGATATAAAATAGGCAGACAGGTGGTGCGAAACATAAGTGCAGAGGTGGGGAGGAAGGTGAAGGGGTAAAGCAGACATAGCAACAAATAAAAGGCAGTAGAAATTTGAGTCGGCCAACAGCCTCCTCCTGACAGCTGCTGCAGGCCACTGTTATCCTTCAATCCTTCAGTTCATGAATTAAAGGAATCTGATTTCTGGCACTGTTAAGCTGTGGTCATAATATAATTAGACAAAATGTTGATAGGATTACCAGATTTCACTAAAACCTCAGTGTTGTGCTGAAATGATATTTGGTTCCAGCAGATTCTCAGGCCAAATGTGTGCTGATACATTGGAGCCAGTTTGGCTGCTGACAACTAATCCAAAGGCTTAGACATTTACAACATGGGATGTCTCTGACATTGAGTTACTCATGATAGCCTGGACTCACACACATTTAGCTCTGCTGCTCTGGATTGCTAGTGGCGCTGCATGAAGGCTGAATTAAGCCTTTGAGCTTTAAGCTAAATCAGTGATAACAGTGATCAGGAGGCGGTCCTACCTAGTCATTTTAAACAAAGCTGCTGATTTTTACTAGATGCATGTTTGATATAAAAGAGCAAGATACCAACGCCTGTAATACCTGCTGGCTGTTCCTAAAGCTGTGATCCAAGCCTGGAAGATGCCGGAATAGAAAGCAAATGGGCTTTTTCTGGTGATAGCAAAGAAGATGGCGGGCAGGATCAACCCGCCATGGATCACCAGGCCTACCATGACGGTCACCATGTACATGCCCAGCTGCCTGGCAACCACCTCCAGGTCCCCGATAGCCGCAATTTTACCAGCAATCAGAGAGGCGATGCCGACAGGAGAGTACCTGAGTGCAGTGAAAGGAGTGGAGTTATCCATCCATCCATCCATCCATCCATCCATCCATCCATCCATCCATCCATCCATCCATCCATCCATCCATCCATCCATCCATCCATCCATCCATCCATCCATCCATCCATCCATCCATCCTAGTGTAACAATGGAAACCAGATTGGTGGAGGCAAACACACAAAAAAGGTTTGTACATGCAGATCACTTTGCTCCTTTAAAGACTTGCTCTGCACGTAAAAACAAGTTTGCACCTTATCTAAGACCTGCAAATCTTCTAAAAATCAGACTCTTTATCATTCCCGCAGTTTCTAGGTCTACAGTACCTTGAGGTCATCTTCCAAAGGAACATAACCAGGGTCCATACTGATCAGATGCTATTTCAAGCTCTTCTCAGACAAAACAAAAAAAAAACAAAACAAAATAATTATGGTGTAAAATATTGAATTTTACCTCTGGAACAATATCTGAAAAAATATACATTATAGGGATTCAAGCTTTAAATTACAAAAGGCGTTTGAATATCACTACCAAAGCACCCTCCTTTAGAGGATAACAGAAAACTGGAATCTCCTTTCTCAAAAGAATGAGATCCTGGAAATAATTTAAACAGGTTTCAGCTGTACAGTCAAAAGACGTGACCTGTGCAATAAATTAAGAACCTTGTAGTTCAGAAGGAAATCTGAGAGCCATAAACCTCCAAATAAAAAGGAGTCAGCTCAGGAGACTTAAATTTTTTTCCCAGGGAAATCAATAAATATGCCATCAAAGATCCAGAAAAAGTTTTTTTTTCTTTCCCAACCAGAAAAAAAACAAGTTTTCATGATGACGTAAGACTAAAATACTGCTTTTGTGAAAGCCACATGGAAGGCAGCTTAGTTTGGGCCATCAGAATGAGATGCTTAAGGTGTTTTCTAACAGAGAAAAATATCTCTGTTACAGAGATGGGAAGTAACGAAGTACAAATACTTCGTTACTGTACTCAAGTAGATTTTTCTGATAGTTTTACTTTACTACTTATTTTTATGGCGACTTTTTACTTCTACTCCTTACATTTTTACACAAATATCTGTACTTTCTACTCCTTACATTTTAAAAAATTGGCTCGTTACTTTAGTTTTGAATCATTTCAATGGAGTTACCGTTATTATTTTTCACGTCATCAATACCAAATTCAATCTAATTGGATGGGAATCTACGTTGCATTTGACGCACCACTACAAGATGAATCGACAGATTCGGCGGGATTCATTGGCGGCAAATCATTGCAGCTTGGTGGCGGTGGCGTTAGCATAGTAGCATGGACGACGAGATGATTGAAAATGAACACAACGGAGATCTAGTCCTATTGGCAGACATCCATTTAAAATGTAGGCAACGGCATGAAAAAAGTGGTTTCTACTTTTACTTTTATACTTTAAGTAAATTTAAAAGCCTGTACTTTGTTACTTTTACTTGAGTAAAGAAGTTTAATCAGTACTTCCACTTTTACCAGAGTATTTTTTAACACAAGTATCTGTACTTTTACTCAAGTACGGAAAGTGAGTACTTTTGCCATCTCTGCTCTGTTATTAGAAAGGAAGATGACAATACTGCTGCTCCTCTGGATAAAAAGGTTTGCTGATCAACAAAATATCACTAGAAGGTTTAAATACAACTTAAAAGCAGTTCATAGAATAGGGAAAATAACATATTAAACCCTTTTACCCATCACCATGAGCTTGAATAGTTTAAGGGCTCCCACAGTGCCCTATAAAAACATTTGTACCTTTGAACTTTTCAAACTCAAACAAAAAAAAAAAATAATTCTTTGTGAAGAATCAACAATTGGGACATAATCACGGAGGTGAAAAAAAGTTATTGGATATTTAAAAATTTTTTTACAGAAAAAACAAAAAAATTGGGTGTGCTAAATTATTCAGCCCCTTTCAGTTAATACTTTGTAGCTCCATCTTTTGCACTGATTATAACTGCAAGTCACTTGGGGTCTGTCTCTATCAGTTTTACATATTGAGATATTTCTGCCCATTCTTCCTGCAAAACAGCTGGAGCTCAGTGTTGTTGGATGGAGAGCGTTTGTGAACAAGTTTTCAGTTTTTTCCACAGATTATTTATTCGATTCAGGTCTGGACTCTGACTTGACCATTTTAATACCTGGATATGTTTATTTTTTAACCACTCCATTGTAGATTTTGTTTAATGTTTTAGATCATTGCCTTGTTGGAAAATAAATCTCCGTCCCAGTCTCAGCTCTTTTGCAGACTCCAACATGTTTTCTTCCAGAATGGTCCTGTATTTGGCTCCACCCATCTTTCCATCAATTTAAACCGTCTTTCCTGTCCATTCTGAAGAAAAGCAGGCACAAACCATGATGCTGCCTACACCATGTTTGACAGTGGAGATGGTGTGTTTAGGGCCATGAGCGGTGTTGCTTTTATGCATGACATTTTATACTTGCTGCGCTGAAAAGGGAGCGAGGGATGCATGCCAAAAGTGACGCAATCATGCCATCCCTGGCCCTGAGCGCGGGCCTGGCTCGCAGCCTCAGTGCTAGGTCGTTCACCTTTGAATTTATGTCTTGCATTGTTGCCAAAAACTTCAATTTTGGTTTCATCTGACCAGAGCACTTTCTTCCACATGTTTGCTGTGTTTCCCGGGTGGCTTGTTGCAAACTTTAAAACAGACTTTTTATGGATATCTTTAAGAAACCACTTTCTTCTATAAAGGCCAGATTTGTGCAGTATATGACTGATTATTGTCCGATGGACAGAGTCTCTGCAGCTCATCCAGAGTGATCATGGGTCTCTTGGCTGCATCTCTGATCAGGCTTCTCCTGTTTGAGCTAAAGGTTTAGAGGGACGGTGGGTCTTCTTAGATTTGCAGCGGTCTGATACTCTTTCCATTTCTTTCTTTCTTGTTTTTTCTTTTTTTAATGGTGTCCTGTCTGGCAATGTGGCAATAAAAATAATTGTCTTGATGCCAAAAAGAGCCCTTCAGATTTTACTTTCATTAGTGGAGCGGTATGGCTATCGCCATAGTGTTCCGCTTGATTTATGCATATAAATTGCTTTATTATAATTATGCAGTTTTACAGATTATATGGACACTGCAATGTAGGTAGAACAGGAAAGGAAAAACAGAAAAAAAAGAAATAAAAATCCCTTTTAATATCATTGCTTGCACAGTGCTCCTTGGGATATTTAAAGCTTGGGAAATCTTTTTGTATCCAAATCCAGCTTTAAACTTCTCCACATCTGTATCTTGGACCTGCCTAGTGTGTTCCTTGTTCTTCATGATGATCTCTGCTCTTTAAACAGACCTCTGAGATGATCACAGAGCAGGTGCATTCTTACGTACACTAGATTACACACAGGTGGATTCTATTTATCATCATCAGTCATTTAGGCCAACATTAGATCATTCAGTGTCATAACTGAACTTCTGGAGGGAGTTTGCTGCACGGAAAGTAAAGGGGCCAATTATTTTTGCATGTCCCAATCGCTAGTTTTTTATTTGTTAAAAGAGTTTAAAATATCCAATACATTTTGTTGCACTTCATGATTGTGTCTCATTTGTTGTTGATTGTTCTCAAAGATTTTACTATTTTATGTCTTAATGTTTTAAGTCTGAAATTCACCAAAAAGTTAAAAGGGGCTGGATAGTTTCGCAAGGCACGGTAAATCTGGATTATATGGTGATGAAGAAAACAGAGGAGAAAATATTTTTACACATGGTACAACATGAAAAAAAATCCATCCATCCATCCATCCATCCATCCATCCATCCATCCATCCATCCATCCATCCATCCATCCATCCATCCATCCATCCATCCATCCATCCATCCATCCATCCATCCTGATAGCTAAAAGTCAAAGTAAAACCGTAATGTGCAGGTACAGACCCCCTGATTTATCCCTCAGCAGAGATGGCAAAAGTACTCACTTTCCGTACTTGAGTAAAAGTACAGATACTTGTGTTAAAAAATACTCTGGTAAAAGTGGAAGTACTGATTAAACTTCTTTACTCAAGTAAAAGTAAAAAGTACAGGCTTGTAAATTTACTTAAAGTATAAAAGTAAACGTAGAAACCACTTTTTTCATGCCGTTGCCTACATTTTAAATGGATGTCTGCCAATAGGACTAGATCTCCGTTGTGTTCATTTTCAATCATCTCGTCGTCCATGCTACTATGCTAACGCCACCGCCACCAAGCTGCAATGATTTGCCGCCAATGAATACCGCCTAATCTGTCGATTCATCTTGTAGTGGTGCGTCAAATGCAACGTAGATTCCCATCCAATTAGATTGAATTTGGTATTGATGACGTGAAAAACAATAACGGTAACTCCATTGAAATGATTCAAAACTAAAGTAACGAGCCAATTTTTTTAAATGTAAGGAGTAGAAAGTACAGATATTTGTGTAAAAATGTAAGGAGTAGAAGTAAAAAGTCGCCATAAAAATAAGTAGTAAAGTAAAGTAAAAATATCAGAAAAATCTACTTGAGTACAGTAACGAAGTATTTGTACTTCGTTACTTCCCATCTCTGTCCCTCAGTGGTGCTTTTACTTCCCCTGATGACTGGAGACATACTTGGATCTTTGGTTTCATGCTTTTCAGCACAGTTGTTCCCATTCATAAATTCAGACTGCTCTTTTGGGAGATCCGATTTAAACCAAGCCCCGCCCCCCTTACAGGTCCAATCACAGCAGCGGCCTGTTCCTCCAGGTCAGCTGCCCAGAGTGCTGAAATCCGAGGCATCCGCCGGACAGTTGTTTGTTGGAGTATATGACGAGATGGATGTGCTCCTTGTATGATGCATTTTTTCCGTATACACTGGAGTCTGTGTTTGGCCCTGACTAATATGTTTACACTGAGTGAGTGAGGCGAACAGGACACAACTCCTCTGGAGTCGAGCTGCACATATAAACTGCACAGGAAAGCTATGAGACAGACTTCCTGGTGATTCTCCAACAATCTACCCCTACTCACAGCTCCCCCTCTCCCTTCCCATCCATAATTTTAGTGTCACTCCACTGTCTATTTCTGTGGTGTCCTGCAAAGCCTCAATTCATGCTCTCTGCTCTGAAGTCATGCTTTCTCATGCATCTCTCCACAACTCCTCTGCTTCTTATATTGTGTGCTGTCAAGCTGCTCCTCTGCCCATTTGTGGATCAATTTCATTTTGGAGATTCTCCACCCCAACTCCCCTGGGAGCCCACTACATCGCTCCTGCTACTCCCTAGCATACCACAGACTCCAGGACGTCCCCGGAAGACCCTAACCCCTTCCATCTGTCCATGTCCTTCACTAATACACTCTCTCCCTCTTCCTCCTGCTTCCTTTCCTTCTTGGTCTTCAGCATCCAGCCGCTCTGCTTGTTCCCACAGTTTGTCTCATGTAAACATTAGTCACTGCCGCTGACCTTGTGTGCGGTATCTCCTCGACGTCACAGCAATGCAACCGTCGATGACACAGAGCAAAAACAGAGATGCATGCCTGCAAACAGATACTGACCACATGATCATGGAAACCATCGTCATGATGATTTCATTGAGGATGCTGAAGAAGTCGCACATGATTCTCCCACGCTCGCCCATCCTGCCCATACAGATCCCGAAGGTGATGAAGAAGCCAATCAAGCCTCGAAGAACAAACAGTGGAGTTAGTTTACAGCAAAAATAAACACAAACAGATGCTTGCAGGCCAAACCTGTTGCATACATGAGCTATGAACTCACCAAGAACATTCATGCCCCATTTGTATTCCAGTTTTTTCCTGTTTACTACTATGGGCTCAGTTTGGTTCGGTGCTGCCACCGCCACCTGTTTCAACACCGTCTGCACCTACAAGAAGATCCCAGGCTGATCAGTGGCTTGGACAACCATCTCAGCAGCTGGAGACTTAACTTTCAGATGTGTTTAAAGAGAAGGCTAATGGAGAACAAGAGCTTCTAACATAAAAGACAACAAAGAGACATAAAAGAGTCGAAAAGGCTGAAAGGGGAAGGAAGATTTCTTTCCACTTTAACATTCAGGCTTTTTATGACTAATGAATCCCTGATCCTTACAAACAAAAGGACCAGTAAAACAGAAATTTAAGGAGCGGTATAGGGGGAGAAAGGAAAAGAACGGATGGATTACCATGGGAAAAGACAGGAATAAAGGGGTCTACAAGGTCAGATCTGTCAGCATTCACCAGCAGATTCCTCACTAAGGTAAGTGCAAATGTGGCAAATAAAAATATGTCACTTTGCCAATTTAACAGAGAGAATTTAATAAAGAAAGTTCTTTTTTTTTTGAAGAGAATAACCTATGCTTCACTTCAATTAGGTTTGCAGACTTTCACTTCTGCACAGTTCTCTTAGGGTCACGCCGCAGCTTTAAATCAGTTTCAGGTGTGGATTTTGTTTTTTTCCCCGTTTGTGTTATGCTTTTTCAGTTCTGCTGACATGTTTGGGACCAGTGTTCTATATAAGACCCAATTTATTCCCGGTAAACTCCACAATGGCCACATTTGATTCTTCAATAGTTCAGGGTCTACTCAACGGCTTCATGCTGTTCGGTCAGTATGAATGCGAAACAAAACCAAGTAATCACCTCTCCACCACCATGCTTTATGGACGCTTTTTGGAGTGTGTTGTTTATTCCGAACACTGCGCTGTGAATCATTGCCAAAGGTATTTAATTGAAGCTAATCTCTCCAAAGAACAAAGTTCCAGAAATCGTATAATTCAGAAGTTGCTATCTGAACAGTGCTGCCATATTCTTAGTCTTTCCATGTCTATTTTTTGAACAAAAGCCACATTTATTCCTTTTTCTGCATGTCAGGTCATAAAATTTATATCTAACATTCTAACTGAGATTTTCAGAATCTGACACAAGGGTCTAAGAAGGCTGCGTAGCCTGAATTTAGGGAGAATGTGAGGAAAGACCCATTCCATGAGCGTCTTGTTCTTGTGAGCAATCTTTATGTAGAATAACAGGCTTTGTAAACTTTGAAAATCTTCTTATAACTTCTTACTAAACTGTCTAAACTCCTGCTTTAGTAAAGATAGCCACAGGTGTTGATTAAGTTGTGTTCATGATAAAGAACATTTTCTGAAATTTAAAGCATACCTACTTAGTGCAAACGAAAACATGAAGACTTTCAGGTATTTTATTTTTAAGAAAAAGCTCTTGTAATGTGAATGAACCATTCCCTAGAAATACCAGGAGGTCTTTCAAAGAAAATTTTTATTCTTCTTTTAAACTGATGCACAGGCATGCTTCAAATAGCCGAAAAACATCTAAAGAGGACCAACAGTAGCTTTGGTGTCTGTATGACAGGTTTGCGAAGGAAAGGAATTCAAATGAACAAACACAAAGGTAGGGACACAATAAACTGGATTGCAAAGGTAATATGACTGGCTAACAGGCATGCTAACTTATGGCATGAAATGTATATAAGAAATCAAATTAACAGTAAGTGTTAATTAACAACAACGCATGTTGAGTACCTGTTGGAAGCAGGCCTGCACCAGGTTCTCCGGAAAGAGGTTTCTGATCAGGTCCAGAAAGGCGTCCAGGCTGCTGACCTCCTGGTTTTTTGTTCCTGTGGATGACGTGCTGCCCCTCAGTTTGGGGTTCCCTGGGTGAATTCCCAGAACCAGGATCACTCCCAAGACTGCAGCTATTACAGTGGTGGACATGTAGTACACCATGGCTCTGCTTCCCATCCTTCCACTGGAGCGAGCGTCAAGACCAGCGAGACCTGAAGCACAACATAAGGGTACGATACCATTCCTTCACCAATCAACGAGTGATGATGTAGAGCTGAAGGCAATCGTTTCTGCTCAGACTTGAGATGAAATGGCTCTTTTACAGTCAGTGACAGCACTTCTTTTAGCTTGTGTCTAAGTTGCAGAAATTTGTTCTTCGGCTGCTAGAGGTCTTGGACTTTGTTCAGCCTCCCTAAAGAAGAGCCAAATCGCCGCAAGGGGCCTTATTATATGCAGTAGTGCCTGCATGTAGGTTTCTTCATATTGGTGTGATGCTGAGCTCCTGCAGCTAAAGGAGGCCCAGCTGGTTTCACTCTGTCTCCTAATGAGCAGAGTATAAAGCGGGGTGTGGAACTGATCTCAATGCCTCATGGCCACTTGGGTGGCATGCATGTTGAAGGACACTTATGTTTTGGTGTCCTTGCCCATTTGTTTTAGGAATAAAAGTGTACAGTATTGAGGTTTTAGAGAACTGATTGCTTTAGATGACTGCCTATATATATATATATATATATATATATATATATATATATATATATATATATATATATATATATATATATATATATATATATATATATATATATATATATATATATATATATGAGGGAGGGAGTCAGTAGAGTAGCTGTCTTTGGGATGGAGGCTTTTAGGGAAACCTTTATTGTAGCAGGGCCACCTTTCATGAATTAAATCTTATCATCAAACAATGAAACATTTCTCTCTATTACAGCAGAAATCAAGTTTTCTTACTACAATTTGTATTGCTTTAGTAAACCTTTCTTACCAGTAATAAGGCTGGAGATGATTAGAGGCAAAATGAGCATCTTTAGCATCCTCATGAGGATTTCTCCAGGAAAGGAAATCATGGTGAGAGCAGCAGCATCTTTAACCATCATGTAGCGCAACAGCATCCCAAACACTGCTCCCATGACGACACCTGAGGAAGAGGTGATAGCAAACACCAGTTATTTCCCAAACAGTTTCGATTAATGAAAAAATTTAAATACGGGGAGTAATTTTAATAAAGAAAAATCATTTTCGATAATATAAATTCTTATGAATAACTGGTCAAGGCAGTTAGAGTTGAAAGTCGTTAATTAGTTTTCAACAGAAAGGAAATTATGGTTTAAGTAAGAGTGGGATCCCTCCTCATAAGTCAAAATTTAGGAATAAACACAGCTTCCACACCTGTTTAGCAGCAGACGAAAAAAAGAATCCAGATTTTCCATGTAGTTTACAGCCCTTGAGTGGACTCATTGGCCAGTTGTTTCACATCTGAGATGTAAGGGTTCGCTGACTAATGAGAGCCATCTACCGTAATGTAAACAACTTCATATCTTAGTTTAAATCTTAGTGACAAATTACAGACAAAAAAATAACACACTTCTCGACTTTGCACGGACTTTTTTTGTACAAGAATGCAGCTGTGGCGAAACACACCAAAGTGTTTACAAAAGGAGAGTAAAGACAACAACAAGCCGACAAAGTTTTGTGGGAAAATGATCAGGGAATGTGTAAATCTTGATTCAAGTTAAGCAACGTTTGCTGCAAAATGAGATTAACAGGAGAAAACGATAATCTTGCCATTAAAGGGAGACTTGGTTCTTGCACAGTGACACACATATAACCTTAGGGAACAGCCTGAGCCTAAATGTCCAAGCCTACCAAGAACAGTGAGTCCCAGGAGCAGGTTGTGAGTATTACGGCTGCAGTGGCCGGCATCCTTATACGCAAGCTCAGTATTGTCATCTCGAGAGGTTTCTTCTTTGTCCTTCTCCTTTTTTGTGTTGGACTGGTTGGCTGTCGGCTGATTTGTCATCCTGCCTGTGGAAAAATTAAGAGAGTTGAATTTGTTTTTTTGTTCTGTGGTTTCTTGCTACAAAAAAAACCTTGGACTTTAATCTCATAGTGTGTTGCATTAGTTTGTTTTACTCACTTAAAATATATTATTTTATATTATCTTTTAAGATGCAGCCAAATAAATCGGTTTGGTACTTACAGGAAACCCCAGTAGTACATACTGCGGATCTTTAAGGATAAATGTGGGAATACTTGGAAGAAGGGTTTATTTAATGTAGGCTTTATTTGAGCACTAGTCTAGGGTCTTTCTGAATAAGGTATGCATGTTTTGCCATACTTACCTGTATTTGGGTACTCCAGATGCCCCCCAGATTAATGACTGAGTGAATTGTCACATTTGACAATATTAGAAGAATTATAATGTAAAGATAATAAAGAATGAACATAAAAAAATTAAACAATAAACACAGTCTCTCCAGAAAACACACTTTGTTTGAGATGACAGAATATACACATAAATGTGGATGATGTGTAGTCAAAAAGAAAATGTTAACCTCTTTCCATATGCTTCGTAATTTTAGGAGAAGCCAGATAACATTTTCATTACATAGAGTTATGCCTCAAGAAAAAACAACTTTGTCAGAGTGATTCGATAAAAATTTTCCTTGTACTTGTTTCAACATTTCTCCACGTTTTGGTGGCTCTGTAAATGAGGGCCACAACCCCTGGCTGTTTTGCAAATCATTTAAAGGAGAAAAAAGGGGAAAGAGTCCAGCACGCAAGTAACAGCTACAAGCACATAGCTGCAGAACAAAGCATGATGCCCTTTTAGAGGGAGTTGGTGGGCGTATGCTTGGACTCATTGACCTGCCAACAGCATCCTACATATTAGTGTTTGGAGGAAAATTTGTAATTTAGAAAGCGCTGTGTGAAAAAAATCGTATTCAGAAACATTAATATTTGGAGATTTTACTGAACTGACAGCGTACAAATAGGGTAAAAATGTAGTTATTTACAGGGGGCATACAGGCTATTTTATTGGAAAAAGTGTAAGCAAGCATTTAGGTTGACTGCAGGATACCTGGGTGCCAATAGAATTACTTCCATGGTTTACTGACAGGGTTTTACATGTGAACTAGACATGGCTACAGTTCAGTTTGTTACCTCATACTTACAGAGTTCCTACTCTGTGGGGTTATTTTGTAATAAGGTAAAAACTCATCTTTTCAACATAGCTTTAATTCAACTTTCTTTAAGTACTTTGTGTCCTTCATCTATTTTTATTTTATGCAGCAGTCTGCAATTTATGTCTTAAAAGATGGTATATAAACAAAGATACAGAGATTATGTGTTGTCTCTTCAAGTTATCTATGGGATAATTACTGAATAACTACTTAAGGGGCAAAACTAATTGTCTGGTCTTTACAGTGCACTATAGGGTATATGGGGTACTTATGGGTGTTCGTAGACAAGGGCCAACTGTCCAAGAACCTGCATGTTAGGTTGATTGGACATGTCAAATTTCCCATAAGACTGAGTGTCAGTGTGCATGGTTGTCCATCTTTGAGTGTCTCTGTGTGGCCCTGCAATGGACTGGCGGACCGACCAGGATGTACCCAACCACTCGCCCATTCACTACTGGGATAGGCTCCACTCCCCCCAGACCACATTAGGGAATAAGCGGTTACAATAATGGATGGATGGAAGATTCCAAACTCATTCCCGAATGAAAACTGTGATCTTAATAAATATTAATATGTGCAAGTTATAAACATTAGTTCACAATGTCACTATCACTTTATATGGATTTATAGTTATACATATGCATGTATATGCATATATATAGAGAGAGTTATATGTGTTTATATTTATATTATTTTTGTGGTTTGTGGGCTGCTCAGTGGCGCTGTAGGTAGCACTGCTGCCTTGCAGCAAGAAGGTTCTGGGTTCAGTTCCTGGTATTTTGTATTTTTGTGAAGGGTTGACATTTGAGTCTTCAAGCTGATTAATCGTAGCAGCAACTTTTCTCAGGGTGTTGTCTGGCCACACTCACTGTCAACAAATCAGCCAATGAGGTTACACTGACCGGCACAAGGCTTCGCCTCTTTCAAATACTCCAATTTTATGTGTAGATTGAAGCTCAGTATTTTAAATAGTCAAGATTCATTTTATCTAACAGGTTCCAGCACTTTCTAAAATGAGTGTAAACAACAAGTTGATGAGAACTGAGTTGATAACTTAAGGTTTTTAATTAAACTGAATGTTGGGTTTTACTGCGTAGAGCTGGCCTTGGCCCCCACTTATGGCCTGTTTACTGGATACATCTTCTTATTATGATACGCTCAGGTACAGAAACTAACTCATTAGTTACTTGAGTCTTTAAGTTTATTATCATTAATGATGATTGAAGAATAAAATACTGTCCCAGTAAACCTGTCTAGAACCACCACTTGGGTTACCTACAGGGTACCTAGTTACAGGATACCCTTTGTGAGTCCCTGCATAGTAGCTTTTGGTATCAGAAGGATCCTCAGGATTGACATTTCCCAACTTATATTATACCTAAGCTGAACTTATGGGTACCACATAAGTAAGAGACCGTTTTTAACCACTATCCTAGTTTTCTGGTTCTTTTTTTAAGTAGGAAAACATGAAAGAGCACCTATATGTGCACAGCATGAAAGTGCTGTATATGTTTATGTTCCTGATGATTGTAAACATGCATGACTCTGTATGACCCAAAGAAAGGAAACAAAAACTATTTGCTAAACAGAACATGAACAAACAACTCCAAAGATGTAATCTGTTTATCTTTACTTTCAATTGGACACATAAAGTCCCAGAAGCTGCATATGTCATGGTATGGAGCTGCTAAGAAAATATTTAGGTCATAACTGTAGTTATGATGAGCGAGCATGTGTGTTAACGGTGGTTAAACAGTTTTTTAGATCTGGGAGCTGGCTTTGCTAACCCCATAGGCTGAATATTTTAAAGCTAAATTGATGAAACAACCTTTATTTATGTCTGGTTATCAATATATTTTAAATAGTTGGAACAATTCAGAGTGATAATTAACACCAAGCATACAGTTTAACTTTAGTGCCATCCTCACTTTCAGTGTAAAGTCATGGCTACTTTCCAACATGGAGGGAAAATCCTTAGAAAATAAACAACAGAGCCCCATCAATAAATTACGATTGACACATTTATAGTTTTCAGGGTTTTTTTTTAAATCCTGTGAAGTTATTTTATTTAGACCTAAAGTCATTGGGGCTTTTGTTTGCAAACTTTGTAGACCATTGTAGACCACAAACTATCCAGATGGCAACTTGTCTTACAAGGAAAACATGAGACGCTAACATTTCATCTAAGAGAGGTTTAACATCTCAGGAGATGGTGGAGTCAAAGAGGCTAATAACAGATTGCTGCGCTGAGTGCTATTATATTTTTTTCATCCACTGGCACTTCTAAATATTCATTCTCGAAGGCAAGTTGATAATTTTCAATCCAGCACAAAGAACTGGTTGTCCCATATGTTCCCAAAAGACCACATGTTCTCAAACTGCAGGTTCACTGGTGGCTTCTATATTTTCCAAAAGTGCATTGGGAGGGAGACCTTTTCATTATTGTGCTTCTGTCTAAGATATTTTCTGTCTACTGAAATATTTGTTTTTGCGAAGGATGTAGTAAGAGTGGCCCAAATTATCCTGAGTTATCTCTGTAGTAATGCTGCTACAGGCTTAAGCTGCTGGAGGACATAATCACCTCTTTACCTTCTGCTACCTTCTCCAACTGCTCTCCAATTAGGGATACCTGCAGGTTTTTACAGCCATTTATTTTACATGCTATCTGTTTGTTTTGTCTTCTAAACCTGGCCTGGGGTTCTTTTAGCTGTTACATTTCCCTGACGAAGATAAGCAACCGCTGTTAAAAACTTCATATTTTATTGTTATAACTTAAACACTTTATCTCTTTGAAAAAGCAACTAATGGAACGAATGCTGCAGCCTACACAGTTATGCACTAACTTTAGCAGTGATTATCTATTGCATGGAGCCCTTAAAGGATCTACAGCCTGTATTAACTCCTTAATTTAATATAGAAAGTATTACTGCTACGTTTGTTTTTTATGTCTGTCCTTTCTTCTCAAATCCCCGGTTTGTGGTTGCAGATGACTGCTAACACTGGGGGAGTTTTCCTTTCCACTATCCTCTACATATGTTCAGTATGAGGGATTGCTGCAAAGTCAACAACACTATTTAAAAGAACTGTCCACCGTTCATACATGGACATTCAGGTGGAGGGATTTCTGCAGTGTGTAAGTGCAATTGGGTGGGTTTTATTAAAAAAGAAAACTTTTTTTTAATGTGAAACATCTATGAAAATTGGATATATGCAAAAGTTCCTTTAAGGCAGGCATCCCCAAACTCGGTCCTCGAGGGCCGCTGTCCTGCAGGTTTTAGATGTTTCTCTGCTCCAGCACAGCTGATTTTAATTGATAGTTGATTAACAGGCTTTTGCCCTACTGCAATCATCATAATCAGCTGTGCTAAAGCAGGGAAACCTCTAAAACCTGCAGGACAGCGGCCCTCGAGGACCGAGTTTGGGGATGCCTGCTTTAAGGCAACATTTGTTGTAAATCAATGCAGTATAAATAAGCTAAATTAAATGAAAAATGACTCGTCCCCTTTGATCGGTTACCCACGGCTCAACCTATTTTATTCAATGCACAAACACTTTATTGGTTCCAAAGGGAAAATGAATATTGTGGTAACTCTCTATATATGTCGATAGATGTTGGCAGGAAGGATCTCCTCTCTTGCAGTTGATCTGGAGAAGCCTTTGACTGAATGTAGTCTGTTAGTGTTCTTCTGAAGAGAATTATCTTCATAAAATGAATAATATACAAATTTTCTCTATTAAATTGTCTCTAGAGGTTCTAGAAAAGTTCCTGGAACAGAGCTGGTCTTCTTTCTTGGCAAATAAGATTACACTCCTCACAACAGACTGATAAAAGATGTCCAG